CCCCAAAACCCCAAAACCCCAAAACCCCAAAACCCCAGGACTCTCATTTTTGACTCAATAATTCTAATATAAATTGTAAAATTAATCAACTTAATTTCTTGATCATCATTAAAAGCCTGATGAAATCGCTAGAAAGTTTGAATCCTCTGAAAGGATCTTTTGCATCCTAGCATTATTAGAGCTCTTTAAATAACTCATCAAGCCTTTCATAAATGCTACATTATCACTAATCCTAGGATTAACTTTATACTCCTCCACTAGCTTTTTAAATGTGATCGTTAGAGTAATATCTGAAATACAGGACATACTAGTATCAACAGCAGACTAAATTTCTTTATATAGTTCTGCACTATCTGCGAATTCATTCAATATATCAAAGAAATTCTTCATTTCAAGAGCGTAATCATATTATTTTTATCCTGAATTGTCAATAAATGTGAAAGTTTAAATCCTTACTTTGCTAAATCTCTTAAGATGTAAAGAGGAAGTAAAATTGAAGGAAATTTTTATACCCTTGAAAGGTAGGAGCAAACACCTCACTGATTCCTTTTTCTAGCCGTAGCCTATTTAGATTCGATCTAATTACGTAATTAACACATATGATTAAGTTCTAATCTGTCTTGAAGCTGAACAAATAATAAGAGAAGAAGGTAAATTAATTACTCTAATATCTAATGTGCGTTTATGATAGCCCAATATTTCTATTAGATAAGATATGGCGGTACTGGCTGCTGCTTAAAAATACTTTAAATCTGAGCCATAATAGTTGTTTCTATCAACTTAAAGTTTTAACCTTAGATATCGTTGATGATCTAAAACATTAAAAATAACTGATTCAAAGAACTTACTTTATTAAAGATATCAGGAACTGAATAGATAATAACAGTCTGTAAGAAGTATTCATGATCTAAAACATATTGAGAAAAGAGTCTGATTAGATTGGAAATGAAGATTTAATTCAGTAGTTTTATCTAGAATGATTAAACCAATTTTTCTAGGCATTGCTGAATCATTTACTGAAGACTTTGATTGAGAATGCTGTCTGTAATCTGAACTGCTTATTCATTCATATTTGATCTCTAGTACTTTATGAAGAACTTTTATATATATTTAGGGGTAAATTCCTTTTTCCCAGCAGTTACTAAAGACAATGGTATATGTAAATAAATTACTTAGGAATATGTGGATAAGTAGTCGAGTTTCATAGAACTAATCAAATTGAAGCATGGACTTTATTAGAATCGAGATTATCTCAAACTGCTTCATTGTTTTGGAAGTGTTCATCGCCATCAAGTAAAAAAAGGGAGTAGTAAAGATCTGTTTATTCCATTTATTTAAATCTATTTCAAATAATTACGACTTAATGATTTACAGGGCAATAAGTTGTTTTGGCTTAGGCTCTCTTTCAAACTTTCATAGATGATAAAAGCTACTTCAGAGAAATCTGCCTTGATCTGCTCCTAAGGCTGACTTAATATTTCGTTATCAAATACATTCTTGCAAAAATTCTATACAAAATTTAACAACTTATCTTCTTACATCTAGTAGCTTTTTAAGTTCTTAAATGCTTGGGTTTGATAAATACTTGGTTAAAATATCTTTGTTGAGTAATTTTTAGACAATGTAGTCTGGAACTTGAATGTCTATTTTTACAATATTTGCTTGCGTCTATTTAACTTTATCTTTAGCTTTTATTTTATCTTGGTCACTCTCCTCTTCTGACATACTCTCATTTGATGAACTCGAACTTGATTCAGAGTTTGATGATTTACTGCCACTGTCAGACTGAGATGAGGAGGACGATGAAGAGGATCAGCTGATTTTTCGCTTTTAGTTATTTTTTAACTATGCTGATTTTTAATCCTTTTTTTACTTGCTTTCATCTATTGTCATCTACTAATTACTTAATGGTTCTGCATAATCGTGATCAGGGTTATACATTAACTCTTCACTAATAGCTTAATTCTCTGAAGTAGCCTCCTAGCTTGTATTCATTATGTTATCATCCTCAATTTCATATTATGGAGAACTTATTGTATTGACTTTGCTTCCCAACATTGATGTAACTGACCCTATATTTTCAAGGGAGTCATCATTATCATCTTAATAATCTCTTTTCTTAATATCTATTTCCTCATGTGGTGGACTGCTGTTCGTGTAGTCACTGTTATCTAATGTCTGTTAGTGTACTTTATCATAATCAGGCCCTATATTAGAATCTTAGAGCATCCCAAAGTCATCAGAGACTCTGTGAGTTAGATAAGGATCACTCAGTTGATTATATAATCCGTCGTAATTTTAGTTTTAAGATTGATGACCTTAAGAAAATAGCTGCCTTTAATGACTTCTTTACTGCTATGTAATTATCTAAACTTATTGATAAAAATAGAAATTACTTGATCAGCAGTGTAGAGTTTTTTTAGCTTATTTTAGATGCCAGGTTAGAGTCTTGGATTATTTATAAGATCTGTGATTTTACCATTTATCAGCTTTCTTTTTTCAAAAAGAATGAAAACTTTTTAAACACTAAGACTAAACTCTTAGACTCTTGTTTCATCATACTAGTGAACTGTCCAGTACAAATACTCAATCAATCTTTCAGATAATTAAGGATACTTATCTACTGATTTAAAAATCAAAAGCAACCCCGGTTCATATAGAGATATCTGAGACCTATATTAAAATCACTACAACATGCTTTAAACTTACTCGTCAAAAAAGAGCCAATCAATAAATAAAGCCTAGAGAGTATTGCATGTTAAGATTTCATGCTTCTGACTGTTGATTATCCCAGCAATTAAGACATATCTTGGTAAAATGTTTGATTGTCTGAGGCTATCATCCTGAACCATATTTACTACAATATGCCTCACAATATCAACCATAATAGTTTCAGAGTCTGTGCCATACTAAACCTTTATTGAGTCTACCAGCCATTTCAAATACCATTAATAGGCTTCTAAAGGAATCTGTGTAAGCATGAAATGAAGCTTTTTCTCCACACTTCGAGGGATGAGATGTCTAATATATTCATCATTGCGAATGTATTATTGCTAAGGTCTTTTGTGCATTGATTGAAGATGATAGTAAAGAGGTCTTCCTTCTATTGTTTATAACAAATCATCCAAGATCGGCTGAAACTTAGGAATCTTAATGACATTGATGAAGACTCTCATGAAATCTCTGCCAATGTCATAGCATTCTTGGTTTTTATACTGCCATATTTTCAGACAAAGCGCGATTTCACTGTCCCTTAGATCATCCATTGTAATATGTTCCTCTATTTATCTCAAGAATTTAAAGAATATCACACTTGCAAATCTGACTGGATGACAGATTAGCCATTAGAAGTTTTTGTGGAAAGTGTCAAGCAATGCTTAATTTATGTAGAGTGATTTCTTATCTGTGAGTATAGGACTGATGCATCTTGAGAGTTCCAGAAATATTTCAATCAGCCTAGGCACTGCTTTGCTAATAAGATTCTCGCATATCCAAATGATTTGCCTCAGAGTATTTTCCTTTAGATAATCATAAGAAACCGATAACAAACTCATGATTATATCTACAACACTTTCGTAATGATCCATTGTGATACTGCTTAACTCAGCCAAAAGAGTCTCTGGTGAGTTTTGAGATTTATGAGCTGGATTTGAGCTTTGATGCAGAATTCCAAAAATAATGCCAGACACTATTTTCTAATGAGCTTCGTGTCCTTAGGATACATGTCTTTAAAGTATATTGACTCTTTCTATTTTGGAAGTAACATTTTTTAATAGCGATTTGTAATACTTCCAGTTCTTCCAAATTTCCTTAAAATATTTAATTATTGCTTATATAGCTAGTACTTACTATCTCTATGTCGGTGCAAACATCGAATTTTTCATATGTTGAAAGACTCGAAGGCAGGGCATGCTGCTTTTAAGCGCTAGAAGAACCCGCGTTTAAAGTTGTTGCTTGTTGGCCCGGACCAAGCTTAAAGTTTTGCATTAATTTATCTATTTTATTAAATATAAATACATTCAATATATATATTGAATTGTACCTCATGGGGTTTTGGGGTTTTGGGGTTTTGGGGTTTTGGGGTTTTGGGGTTTT